ATGCAAAATTTATTCTTTACATATGGTAAAAGTAAACGATTATTGTTTGATTGATTTATTGAAATTGAGCAACCCCTTTTTTTTATTGATATCTAGGATTCAAATATTGAGTTAAATTTTTAGCGGTAATAATTTTTTTTTTTTCCTCTTTTGTGGCTTAGAACCGAAAACCTTATAGTTTTGCTTTGTCGTCCGTTCCTTTGGTTTCCATAGCAACCGTTTCCATAGTAACCGTTACCATAGTAACAGTTTCCATAGCAACTGTTTCCATAGCATCAGTTTCCATAGTAACCGTTACCATAACAGCAGTTTCCATAGTAACCGTTACCATAGCAGCAGTTTCCATAGTAACCGTTACCATAGCAGCAGTTTCCATAGTAACCGTTACTATAGCAGCAGTTTCCATAGCAACGTTACCTTAGCAGGCAATGGAGGCGCCATGCGTCTGCTTCTTTCATATTTTTTTTATGGAAAGTAAAAAAAATTTGATAAGTTCATAATATCTTGACTTTAAAAAAACCTCAATTCTAAATAGGAGATATGACAATAAATCTGTGAAATTATATATATTAAAAAATGGCGCCCCTAAGTAGAGAAAAGTTGACAAAAAAATTGTCGAGGAGGGATGAATTTTTTTTTTCATCTTATATCTCTGAAACCACAATGAAATGCAAAAAGAATTATTATACACGAAATGGTCATTTCACGTTTGGTATTGTATCCCTTAAATAGTGAAAGAACTTCGATACCCTATATTTTGGTCTCATTTTACTAAAAGCTGATCGTATTTCATGATTCTTTCCCTCTTTGAGTGCGTATAATTCGATGGGGTGCTTCTCTTCTCTCTTTTTTTTTCTCTTCTTTCTCTTTGACCCTGGACTTTTTCATCGCGGTTTCCTCCGAATGGTAACCTGACTTGGTTTCGCGATGGGAGCAGTTTTTTCTTTTTCTTTTTACTTTTGTCATTCGAAATCATTTGTCCACAATTCGATAATAAATATCATCTCTATATTTAGTAGAGGTCTTTTTTTTTCAAATTTAATAAGTCGTTTTTTCAAAAAATATTGTTCAGAGTTCAAATGCCATGAAGCGCGTCGAAGAGCGTGGAAATTGTAAATTTGTAACGGATTTTAAATAAAAAGTAAACATTGAAATTATAAATGTAGAATAAGAATAAAAAAAAAACGTAGAAAAATTGAAAAAAAAATTATTTCGTTTTATAAATTTAACGATGGCTACTTTCTCAGGTAGATAAAGATTAACAATGCACACGACATCCCTTGATACGTTATATATGTTAAGAAATGGGCACTTGTGCCCAGTGTATGGAGAACGTTATTAACAACCAGCAACGGATAACACGAGTCCTAGGGATCCTTTTTCTTTTCAAGGAGCCTTCCCAAGTGACCTGAGGGCAATATCCTTGTCCATTCGCGCATCTAGGACGACCCCAAATTAATATTCAAATTCGTATATCTAACGGACGAATAAGGATCTGACCCCCTTATATATATATATATATATATATTGTTAAATTCTTTCTTCCGTTTTCATTTTTCGCTGTTAACGAAAATCTCCCCTCCAACTCTTTATTTTTGAGAGAGAGACTGTCCTGTGGCGAACCTTCCACTGGCCATATGTAACGTCATTTATTGTGCGTGAAGATTTTTTTCTTCTCCTAATCCAATGTCCTTTTTTCTACGCAAGAAAAGGGACGCTATCCAATTGGTTAAAACGACCCTAGGATGAGTGACCTGATTATTCTTTTTATCTTCAGGTCAAACTGATTCAGTTCAACGTTCTGATAGACTCAAAAGAATTTTATTCTTTTTACATTCTCATGGAAAAATCTTTAAAAAAAATTCTATCTATTCTATTCTAAATCTGAATCGATGAAATTTTTACTGATTCAAATTTACAGTATGTATATAAAAGCAGATAGCAAAGGGTATAAAATAATATTTAATAATCGAACTATAAAATTATTTAACAAATTAATTCATTTTATAAGCTCTTGATGAATTCTTTGTAACATGTATGTAATTTTGTATTATAAAATTTCATGGGACAGCCCATTGGTTTTTTCTCACTCTAAACCGGAATTCCAAGTCCTTGAGGCGCAAAAAAGGGATGGCACATAAAAATTTATAACAGAAAATACATGCAATAAAACATGTTACACTACTACTCGATTTAAATATCTTTCCTGATGATTTAAATGTGATTTCGAAATATATGTATTAAAGGAGGGTTGATTTAATGCATTTATAATTGTATGAATGGAACGGGGCAGGGTCATCGGTCGGACATCACTGACCCAAGGGATGACCTGGTCACTGTCCAAGAAACCTAACCCTAACCTAACCCCACATTGTACTGTGACGATCCTAAAAGTGACCGGCAGACCCAGGCACGGGCCGCACCGGTTTTTTTTTTTCTATTTTCCACTTCCTGTTTCTTAATTCGTTCATCATTACATTACTTTTTACGATCTCGACGCTTGTAATTTTTATTTAAGGGACGTTGTGACTCTTCTCAAAATTATTACCTTGTTCTCAAGCCATTTCATCCCTTTTTATGGATTGTTTCACCCAAAGCAAAGTAATGGACATTATTTACATTAAAAAAAAAAAAACATGTTATTTTGTACAACTAAAATCCAAATTTTTATTTTTAAGAATAAAAATGTTCAGTTGTACAAAATACTCTCTAAATCTGAATTAGTAAAAATGTTTACTAATTTGAATTAATGACTCACTTTTTGCTTTAGAATTAGTTAAATTTTACTAATTGTTAGTAAAAGTTACTAATAATTAGTAAAATTTTACTAATTCAGAAGCAAAAAGTGAGTCACTAATTCAGATTAGTAAACATTTTTACTAATTCAGATTTAGAGAGTAACAGTTGGAATTTTAATTTTTGTACACTGAGAAAAATATACTATTGAATCAATTGCATTTTTGCCAAAGGTATAAAAATTATTGATTCAAAAGCATATGCTATAAAATTTGTAAAATATTTTATAGATTCTATGCTTTTTGATCAATAATTTTTATACCTTTGGCAGAAATGCAATTGATTCAATAGCATATTTTTCTCAGTATATACAAAACAAATCACTGGTTGTACAAATTGCGAGCAAATTTTAACGAAAAATTTTGTGTACTAACCCAAATATTCTTTGAAAAGTATATAGTGTGAGAAGATGGAAATTTTCCTCTTAAATATTAAATTATTTCATTGGGACGTTTTTCATTAATAAAACAGAGATTTGAATTTTATATTGTAATACAATATGAATGTCAGTTATATGTTAATATATATATATATAAATAATATACGGAGGTCTTACCAAACTTGACTGTCCAAAACCCCTTCTAATTGTTTAGGAGGTTATGAGAAGGAAACATATGATTCAGTTATATTATACTGGGTAAATGTTACCCTTTTTACATTATACTGGACATGAGTGGTGTGTCCAGCATTGTTCTTCTAATTTATGCATCCCATGCACGTACATCATGATGTCGACTGTGCTAAAATCTTCCCGCGAACTAATTGAATTATTACCAAATTTCAAATTCTAAAATAAGAATAGTAGATTGATTCCCACAGAAAATTTAAAAAAAAAAAAAAGTATCATTGTTTCAAGAAAATCATTTACTTGTCCGTACACTGCAAAAAAGAATTTATTTTGATTCAAATACTCGATTACTTGAGTATTATCAAATAAATAATATTTACTTGGACCAAATAATTTTTATTTGAATTAAATAAATTGTATTTGAACCAATAATTTTTGTATTTAAAACAAATACCATCTCAAATAATCACAGAAAATTATAAGCTGCAACGCTTATTATTTTAATCCAATTTTGCTTATTTTAATATCAAAATGGATTAAAATAAGCAAAATTGGATTAAAATAATAAGTGTTGCAGCTTATTTTAATGACTTTTCATTTTCTGTGATGATTATTTGATAGAAATAAATATTTATTTGATAATAGTCAAGTAATCGAGTATTTGAATCAAATATTTTTTTTTTTCAGTATAATTAACTAATTTTCTTAATTCAAGAAAATGTTCTTGAATGAAAAAACTATTGAATCAAATACAAACAAGTGGGTTTTCTTGATTCAATACTATTTTTCCAGATACATAATTTTTTAATAATAGATTCCGTTTAAAAAATAACATTTTTATAAAATGGGAAAAAATTTAAGAAAACTTTTTTGAAAATAAATTTGATAGTGCGCCATCTAGGTACTTACATTCAAAATACCTTATCCAGTCTGTTGGGTAAAGTCTCATTTTTACTTACCTTTAGTAAGTATAAAATATTTAAAATAAAGTAAATCCGTTTTATCAGCTTTATATAATTTAGAAAATTTCTATGCACGAAAGTTGACAATAAATAAATTTTTTTTATCGAATTTAAATAGAAAAAAATTTTTGTTATTCCGGAATAGGAAATACGTGAGAAATTCTTTTTTTTGTACAACTATGGTATATTTATCAATACAAATGAGATTTTAATACCTATAATATTGTATATAGACTTTGTATAGCATTTTCATACACAATTATATTGATAAATGCTATTTTATGTTCGTGTTTGAATTTCTTTCTAGGAATCATATCGTAGACAATAATTGTCAGTCTTGAAAAGCTAACAGTTTTAGACTAGCTTTTTTTCACATATATGCATGTTAAATAATATACTGCTGTGAATTTTCTCTTAAAAAGATATATCGTGCCTCAAAATGTCACGAATAGTAATTTCAAATATATGACTGTACGTTAAATCACGTTATTATTTCCCTTAGAATCATTTTCTCATTAAAAAATGAGTCTCAAATGTATAGTGAATGCTAAATTGTTATTAAAAAAAAAAATTTGCCCGTCATGTATCATAGGTATAATTTTCTTTTTAAACAGTACTAATTATATGATTAACTTTTTCTTCATTTCAATAAATACTCCAGTAAATGTATTTAAGAATTCAGTTTTCCATTAGAACTTTAAAAGAATTAATAATTCTCATCAAAAAATAACAATTGATTTTTGAAATATAATAGTAAACAAAAAAAAAAAAAAAAAATGTCGACTGTAACAAATTTTTTAATTCTTCTAATAGTGACAATTCTTTCTGTAATAACTGCGGCATATATTTATATGACCCGAAAATTTAAACACTGGAAGAAAAAAGGAATTATGGAAATAAAACCCACGGCATTTGTTGGAAATATGGGTGATTGTTTAATGATGAAAACATCACCTGGATTATTATTTAAACAAGTTTATAATGAGGGTAAAGGACTTCCTTATGTTGGAATGTATATATTTGATAAACCAACATTACTTTTACGCGATCCGGAAATTATCAAACGTGTTTTGATAAAGGATTTCAATTATTTTAGTGATAGATTCTCGCGAGCAAGTGAAAGTGATAAAATTGGAAATTCAAATCTTTTTATGATAAAAAATCCCGATTGGAAAACAGTTCGTGCAAAATTAACACCAATTTTTACATCAGGAAGATTGAAGAAAATGTTTATATTAATGGAGGAAGTTGGCAAGGATCTTGATGTGTATTTAGCATCAGAAATACCTGAAGGTGAAAAAAAATTTCTCTTGAAAAAAATACAAGGAAAATAAATTAGGAAATTTAATTGATATTTTTATAGGAACAGTTGGTACATTGGAAATGAAAGAAGTTTGCGCTAAATTTACAACCGATATGATTGGTACAACGGCTTATGGATTAAAAGTAAATTCATTAAATAATCCTGATGCGGAATTTCGAAAATGTGGAAGACAAATTTTTACATACAATATTCGACGTTCCATTGAATTTACAACAATATTTTTTATGCCCGAATTAGTTGAAACACTTGGATTTCAAGTATTTTCAAAAGAAAGTACAATTTTCTTAAGAAATGCATTTTGGGATACAATAAATGAGAGAATTAAATCTGGAATAAAAAGAAATGATCTTATTGATCTTCTCATTGAATTAAAACAAAGTTATGAAAATGATCCGGAACAAAATAATGGATATAGTAAGTTTTAGATTATTTCTTTTTAAACAAATTTAAAAAAAAAATTTTTTAACAAAATTTGCAGAATTTGATGGTGACAATTTAGTATCGCAAGCTGCAATTTTTTTCACCGGCGGATTTGAAACATCATCAACAACAATGTCATTCACATTATACGAATTGGCTTTACATACTGAAATACAGAAAAAATTAAGATTAGAAATTGATGAAGCTTTAAAAGCCAATGGAGGGAAAATAACATACGACATGGTATGGTGAATTGTTTATTAAATCTAAAAAAAATAAAATTTCTAAATCTTTATTTTTTTTTCAAAGGTAATGACTTTACCATATTTGGATATGGTAATATCTGAGACTTTGAGATTTTATCCAATACTTCCATTTTTGGATAGAGTGGCTCTACAGGATTATAAAATTCCTGAAACAAATTTAATTGTTGAAAAAGGAACTCCAATTATAATTCCTATGCTTGGTCTTCATCAGGATTCACAATATTTTTCTCATCCAGAAATTTATGATCCTGAAAGATTTTCTGAACAAAATAAAAAATCTTTAACTCCTTGCGTCTATATTCCATTTGGAGAAGGACCACACATATGCATTGGTATATTTAATTTTCTTGAAATTTATGCTATATGTAAGGAATTGAAATTAAAAAAATAATAATTTCAGGTCAACGTCTTGGTTTATTGCAATCTAAATTAGGAATTATTCATATTATTTCAAAATATGAAATTTCAATAAATAAAAAAACTCCAGTTCCAATAGAATTGGATCCAAAGGCATTCTTAACATCAGCAATTGGTGGTCTTCATCTTAATTTAAAAAAAATTACCACCGCTGCTGGTTAAATTTACAAATATGTATATAATTAATTTAATATTCATATAGATATTTGGTAGAAAATAATAATATAAACAATTTGTTGACGTATACGTTTATTATTTCATTTACAAAAAACTACTTGATCGTGGCTGTTTTCATGATACGGTTGACTCTATTGTTCAGATTTAGAATCTTAAACCTAGTTTTTCTATAATATATTATTATATTATATACGACACCTTAGAATCAAACGGAATGAACGGAATCAACGGTAGGTATCTTTTTTGCAATGTCGTTCAGTGCTGACAAATTATTTTGATTTATTTAAAATCTTTTAAATATTAAAAATAATTAAAATACATTTTTTTCAAAAAAAAGGCATGTAAATTGCTTTTAAATTAAAAAAAATGCTTTTATATGAAAAATATCATCAGTAAATTAGATCCTTTGTTTTAATTTGATTATAATTGTATTTTATATTAAAATGCAATTTGTAAATAAAATTTGAAGGCTGAAAATTATTTTCATTTTTCTTTTAAATAAAGACACTATTGGCAACACTGAACAATTATGTTACAACATATGTATAATAACGATAACACTCGCCAGCGAGTGTAGAAATTTTTTTTTTTTTTTAATTCTTTCATACACATCAGGTAAAACCAGTTTTGTATATTATGCACATAATTACGATTCTTCATTTAAGAGTTCGAGTCAATATTCTTATATTCTAATAACGACTTAACGTACGAGAGGCGCGAGTTCAAAAAATGGAAACGAAGATGAAAATCAAGATATTACTCCGTACTCCGTATATTATATTCGGTTACTGTACAGATAATATAGTTCACAATGATTTTAAACTATTTTTTTTTTTTTTTTTTTTTTTTTTTTTTTTTTTTTTTTTTTTTTTTTTAATTGACCGACATTTAACAATAATCAACGAATAGTCCATTTTATGACATCAAAGCATTTTTCAATGTGTGTCTCAATAATTTATATATTTGGCCCATTTAATTTAACTATAAACACGACATTTAGGCCAAATCTTTGCTCCCCGAAAATCGTTTAAAAAAAAAAAACAGTCAAATAAATATTAATAATTAAAAAAAAAAAAAAATACAGGCACAAGTATAGTTTGTAACGTTTATCATCGAAACTCTATTGTTATATTTTTTTTCCAAGATCTAAAAGAGTTTGCCGAGCGAAACGACAATAAATTAATTAATTTTATTTGAAAAATTCCTTTTTTTTTACCTAATTTGTCACTTGAAGAAAAAAAAAAACAAAACAAAATGCCCAAAACGAATTGGGATGACAATAATAACATATAAGACTAGAGTGTATAAAAATATAAACATCTAAGATAAAAATGAAAGCATAATATTGCATACTAGAACATAATATAAAACGATGTCAATATGGAAGCAAATTGGTACGAACGATCAAAAAAAAAAAAATTCATCTAGAATCTGATTAAAAATTAAAAGAAAAAAAAATGAAATAAGTACAATAAACAGTAAAATGACTAATTTTCATTATAATTTATAGAAAAAGTATGGTCCCCCAACTTATTTGATATCTGATTGCTCTCACAGATTATGTAAAATATAATAGGGTCACTTGGGGTAAATGGGGACAAGAGGTTTTTTTTTTTTAATTTACAGTTTTAAAATTAAATTCAATGACAATATTTTAACCTCAGATCAAGAGGTTTTGAGTATTGCCAAACTTTTATCTTGACAATTGGCAGCAAGATAAAAAAAAGTTATCGCTCAATGCATAAAAACTTGAAAATCAAAGTTAAATTGTTTCAGTATTTTGTTGAGCATTTAAAAAAACAGATTTAAAAATCATTTTTTTTCTTATTCCTTATGACACCAATAACAGAAATTCACTTGAAATTTTCATTTTTATTAATTTGGTTAAAAATAACAAACTGTCCCCATTTACCCGGAGTTTTCAAATTTTTGGGGTAAATGGGGACAGCTTGTCATTATTAACCAAATTAACAAAAATTAAACTGAATTTCTGTTATGGGAGTCATAAGGAATAAGAAAAAAAATATGGTATGATTTTTAAGTCTTTTTTTCAAATGCGAGACAAAATACTGAAATAAAAAAAAATTTTCAATTGGTTCAACTATTATATATCTACTACAAATTTTTTTTTCAACTTTTTTCATCCCTTAATACAGTAATATACTTCAAACTTTTTTCTTAAAACTTTCTTAGAAACTATGCTGTCCCCATTTACCCTAAATTTTATGAAATTTTCTAAATTTTGGGGTAAATTGGAACAGTCAGTTTCATGCGTTTAAAGCATATCTAATTTTTTTTCTGCTGCATAAAATTAATCCTGGGAACGTAAATAACAAGTTAAAAAAGAAAAAAAAAACCCGCAAATATTACCTTTTAAAGGAAGAAACATAATTCGTGAAAAATAGCGATTTTGTCCCCATTTACCCCAACTGACACTAAAAGTTTTTTTAAAATTAAAAACTATTTATATATATAGAGCTCTGAAACATTTTATGATCTTCAGGAATTTTCTTTGCAGAAAAATATCAGTCATAAAAGATAATCGTTCGTCACAATTCAAAACCCATACATCTTTTATCTGCAATATATATCTCTCTCTTTTTCGAAAAAATTTTTTTTTTCGGCACCAGTCATCCTAACAGCCCTCATTTTAATATTAGAATTCTAATAAAAACGCATCGCGTCCCATATCAAGTGGACCATTATCAAAATTATAGATTATATTAATAATATAATTATTATTATTATTATTATTTTTAGTAATAATAAAAAAAAATTTTTTAATGTTCCTTTTTATGCACTGAATACAAAATTTAATTCAAATCGATTATTGGACTATTATCAAAAAGGCAAAAAAAATCTTTATCTGGAATAGCGATATGTTTTTCTAGAATAGCGAAAACTTTCCCTGTTTTAGTGAATCATATTGCTATTATAGTGAAACTTATCGCTGTCCCAGGTAAAGATTTTTTTCCCTAAATATTTATGTTTAAATAATTATTTAACAATTATAATTATTATTCAGGTTGATTAAATGGTATTTGTTTCGAATACAGAAATTATTGGTCCAAATACAAATTATTTAATTTAAATAAAAATTATTTGGTTTAAGTAATATAAATATTTATTTGGATAATAATTAATCGATTATTTGAATGAAATAATTTTTTTTTCACTGCACGCTTTAAATTTTTTGCGAAAAATTTCAAAAACATCTTCCAATTTTAAAAACGAATTTTTTGGGATAAAAAATTAATTTTCATTAATTAGTTAATTATTTGAAACAAAATTTAAAATTGTATAGAATTTGGAATTTTTTATCACAATAGATACATAAAGGAACATTTTTTGAAAATTTCATGAAAAATTTTTTTTTTTTTTTTTCAATTAAAAAGAAATTATTTTTTTGTGAAAAAAGACGATAAGTTAATGATTACAAGAAGCTAAATTACATAAATTCTAAAATGGCCTTCTCGATATAGAATGCTCGTTGCACTCAACATTGAAAATTATTACATTTTTTTTTTCTTTTTTTGGGATTTTTGGGCAGCTACTACAAATAAGCTTTTTCTAACTATATATATCTAAATTCTAATAATCGATTTGTGTGTGTTTACGCTGTAGTTTTTTTTTATATATATGTATATGAATATATTACATATACATTTATATACATACATACACATATAACGTACAACATTAATTATTATTATTCGTTCAAGCTACAAACTAGAATTTTTTTTTTTTACAATAAATAAAATATTCTACAAACTTAATCAAATTCTAGCTACTCGAGTCTAGAGTCACAGAAGTACATATCTAATAAATTCATTTCTTTTATTATTATTTTTTTTTTCCTCTTCTTCTAAATCGAAAGATAAGATTTTAATCCATCGTAAGTTCTTGGAACTAATCAGATGGAAAGTCTCTTTTTTTTTGATTATATAATTTCGTTTTTTTTTCCATAATTGAATGAAAACATATTAATATATTTAGTTTTTTTTTCTCATTTAGGTCCTGGGATATCACAGGATAGTAGAACTAGAGCTAATCTGGGATTAATATGAAGGAAAGAATATGTCGATAAGAATTCGCAAGATATTTTATATAAAGAGTATATTAAGTGATATATATATAAGATATTGAATTTTCTCATCTATAGCGCATATTTCGTATATATATATATATATATGTATAATATTCGAAAAATCCCAGAATTAAAAAAAAAATTAGAATATTTTTTGCGAATATTCGTTTAAAAATAAAAATGTTTTTTTTTAATATCAAAAAAAAGCATGAGAGAAGACGATTTTGGAAGACGTTTTGTACAATAATTATTCTTTTTTAATTAAAAAAAAAAAAAAAAAAAGAGAAATAAAAATATAAAAATGAAGACGTATTTTGAAGACTTAAAATTTATTCATTGCTAGGAGAAAGGGTGGGATGAGAAGACGTGGTTGGTTCATTGATATGCCTTTTGGGGCGAAAGCTGGCAGTTAATGAAGAGATCCATCCGCTTTGTTGTGACGGTTGATCATGAAGAGAGCCACTATTACTACTGCTTCTTGTACCGTCGATACTCATTCCTGATTTGAAGCGGGAAAACAAACCTGGTGATGATTTTTTTGTTGACGCTGGTGATGAAAATGCCGTTGGTTTTTTCACACATGTTGTTATTGATTCTTTACATAGCATTGAATCAAGACTTCCCGTATGTTGTTGTTGATCTTCAATATTTTTTTTTTCCAATAAATTTAAAATTCCAGCTTCATTTTGTTTTGTTATTTTTGATATGTCCTCCATACTCGCTGAACTTCTTCTAATTTCAACATTACCTAATTCTTGATCAACAGCACTTGAACTACCGGGATTTATTTGATCAACATGAATTTCAGGTTTTTTTGGTCTTACATCAATTTCTTTAAAATCACGAAAATTTCTATTTGTTTCTTTATTTGGACTTTGGCTTTTTATATGACCAATTTTGCCCTCTGGATTTGAGAGATTTCTTCTATGTTTTGGAATTGTTGATTCAATATTACTTGCCGGTAATATTTCCAATGATATTGATGGTCTTTTTTCCTTGGCAAAAACAGTCTTCCAACTCTTGCTCCTGCAGTCTTGATATTTTCTTGCTTTTGGAAAGGTCATTGATTTTTTATCACCAGTTGATAGATCGACTATTGTTTCCCTGCCTTCTTTAATAGCTTTGGTCAAATTACATTTTTTACAAACTACATTGCATCTCATTGTCGATGATGAACCACTGCTTAATGAATTGCTTTTATTTAAACTCTTTGTGGCGTGTTTCACTGGTTTTAAAATTGGTGGCTCCTTTGTATCAAAACTGATACTTAAACGATCGGTGAGATTTCTCAATTTTGCCATCAATGACCTTTGATTATTGGAATTTGATTTATCATCACAACGACAACAACGTATATCCTTTATCACTTCTTTATGATTTGTTCCAATATCAGAATCACCACTAATGCTGATTGAACGTTTATTTACATTATTTTTTTGTGGAAAATTTTCAGTTGTAACATTACCATTTCCTTCTGATTTTGGACTTATTGATTCAATTAGTAGTGTCTCGTCTTTTTCAAATTCTTCAAGTATACGTGAATCTTCACCTGATTTAACACTAATTGGAGAACTCATGTCACTACTTAAATTTTCACCTTTACTTCTTCTTCGATCGTGTTCTCTCATTGCTTTGGCAAATTCATGATTATGATAATCCAATGATGATTTTTCTCTACTTCCTTTTCGACTTCCCGGACAACTTTTTCTACCCACTGATGATGCTGATATTGAACCTTCAGTTGATATTTTGAATTTTAATGTCTTCTCACTGATTTCAACTTCCGTTGCTGTTTCTGGATCTGAACTTTCGAGATTGTCAGCCTCTTCGATTGTTAAATTTTCCATTCCATCTTCATCCGTTGATCTTGAGCGAGAATGAATTGTTCCACCTGATCGTTTTGAACGAACACTATGGGATGAAGTTGATTTCACAACCGAGGAGCAACTAGAATTTCCGCCGGAAGTAGCCGACGGTACGTGTTCACCAAGATCAACGACACTTTTGCGATGAAGCCGCTCGTCTTTTGCCGCTTCATTAAGACGACGGTAATACTCGAGGGCGTATCGTACCGGTGATACTATGAGATCCTGTTGGAAAAAAAATAATCATTAGATTCTGAGGAGAATTTTATTTTATAAAACTCATTTCAGTTATCTTTCAAATGCATATTTGTGTTCTTGAAAGGAAGCTGTCAACTTTTATATTGAAATAAAATTCGTTTCTTTGATATAAAGGAATTTTGAAAAATTTTCCCGCGTGGAAATATGAAACTATGGGTAAAATCATAAAAACCATGGGCGAAATCGATTGCCAAGGAAAAAACGATTAGACCCATGGTTTAAAATCTTGGCAAAAATCTTGTTTCCCATGGTACAATTTCCCATAGAAAATGTTTTTTTTTAATTTTACGGATTTTTAACCATTGATAAAATCTTGGAAAGCATGGGAAAATTAATTTTTTAATTTTACTAATTTTGGGCCTTTGCTAAAATCTTGGAAACCATAGGAAAATTAATTTTTTATTTTACAGATTTTGGATCATTGCATAAATCTTGCGAAACATGGGAAAAATTTTTTTTTTTCTTTTTTACGGATTTTGGACAATGGCTAAAAACTTGTGAACCATGGGAAAATTATTTTGTTTAATTTACGGATTTTTGACTATTGCAAAAATTATGCAAAATATGAAAAATTAATTTTAAAAATTTCCCAATGGTTCGCAAATTTTTAACCATGCTCCAAAATCCGTAAAATAGAAAAAAAAAATTCCCATGGTTCGTAAGATTTTAGCAATGGTTTAAAATCCATAAATTAAGAAAAATAATTTTCCCATGGTTCGCAAGATTTTAGCAATGGTAAAAAAACTGTAAATTTAAAAAATTAATTTTCCCATAGTTGGCAAGTTTTTAGCAATGGTCAAAAATCAATAAAATTAAAAAAAATTTTCCAAGGTTTCCAAGATTTTAGCAATGGTTTTAAAAACCGTAAATTAAAAAAAAAAATTTCCCATGGTTCGAAAGATTTTAGCAATGGTCAAAAATCCGTAAAATAGAAAAAAAATTTCCCATCGTTCGCAAGATTTTAGCAATGGTTTAAAATAAAAAAAAAAATTAAACAACTTTTTCCCATGGTTTTCAAGATTTTAGCAATGGTCCAAAATCAGTAAATTTAAAAAAAAAAAAAAAATTTCCCATGGTTCGAAAGATTTTAGCAATGGTAAAAAATCCGTAAATTAAGAAAAATAATTTTCCCATAGTTCGCAAGATTTTAGCAATGGTCCAAAATCAGTAAAATTAAAAAAAAATCATTTTTCCATGGTTCGCAAGATTTTATCAATGGTTCGAAATCAAAAAAAAAAAATTTTTTTATTTGCCATCGGTTGGCAAGATTGTAGTAATGGTCCAAAAACTGTAAATTAAAAAAAAAAAAATTTCCCATGTAAAATTGTACCATGGGAAACGGACATGAGCAATGATTTTTAAGACTTTTGCCAAGGTTTAAACCATGGGTCTAATCGTATTTACCTTGGCAATCGATTTCGCCTATGATTTTTATGATTTTACCCATAGTTCCATATCCACACGGGATTAATTTCTATAAAGTTTTTGAGTATATAATTTTTATTTTGCACCTGTAATTCGGGAAAAAGTTCACCAAGCGCTTCAAATAATGGAAGAAGAACGAATCCAATGAAACTGCATTGTGACGATGGTTTCGTTACTTTATCACGATCCATAAATGGTGTCACAGGAAGTCCCTCCAATTTTTCTGCATCACTTTGTTTAAAGAATTCCTGCAGTAGACTATCGAGCCATGGATCAGCGACTTCTATTGGTCGTGCCTCGTTGCTAATATCCGAAACTTTGATTAGAATCATTGAGAGCTAAAAAAAATGTAATTAAATTTTTATTTTCTATAATTTTTTTTTTCTGAAAGTGAAAAATAGAGAAAAAAGTAAAACTTATTCATGTGTAAGTGAATAACTTTTTACTCGGGTTGTACAGGCGCCATTGATGCAAAAAAAAAAAGAAACTTATTTCTTCAAGGAGAAACTGATCAATCTTTACTTGAATTTTCTTAGTGGAAACTAATTTTTATTTTTTCGCGAAGGTAATGGTATTTTCTCTCTCTCTCTCTCTCTCTCTCTCTCTCTTGGGAAAGTAAATGGGAGATTGTTACCAAATTGATGTGCGCTTTGTTCGTGTAATCGAATTCCGGTATGACATCGGTAAATTGCCCGAGGATCTCGTTATGCCTGGCCATGTCAGTTGCGAGGATGCACCTTATGATACCTTCCCTTACGGTCCTGTAGGTCGTTGGGTCCAAGGACGCCAGGATGTTACATTCCAGAGCTTCGAGGACGCGAAAGGCCACCGAGCAATGATGATTCTCTAGGGGCGAGATGTCGTTGTAACGCAACGCTAACTCAGTACGAGCATTTATCTGATAGATGTTATTGTAGCCAGGATGATCGAGGTCATGACAAATGCACGATACGATTAAAATCAAAACTTCAAGATGACCAATTTTCGATGGTAAATCCACAGTCCATGCAATTGCGTACATCTGCAAAAGAACAAAATTATAATAAATTATTCTTTTCTTATTCTAAAAATAAAAAATTACTTTGAGGAACATAAAAAATTTTAGAGACCGTAAAGCTTAATTGTAAAGTGAATATTATAAAAGCGGAGCCTGCTTTTTTCATATATATATATATATATATTTGAAAATGGGTAAAAGTTTCTAAAGAACTGTGGTTAAAAGACATCATAAGACTAATTTAAAAGTTGAACTTACCATCTGTGCAACGCAAAAACAATGCCTGAAGTTGTGGAAGGGTACCTCATTATAATTATTGTATACCTCATAGAGAAAATTTCTCAAAGTGGTCAACGAGATATTGAATTTTTCAAGTATTTCCAGTTCCACGAACATTGTTTGCAACATCAAAAGTAATTCTTCATCTTCCCATTGTTGTGCATCAAATGATGATGATTTCAACCATTCACGAACATTTGTTGATAGTGCAACGTCACTGCGAAAAAAACAAAAATCAATGAATTCTTCAATTTAAAAACTAAAAAATATTTGATTCAAAATAAATATTTATTTGATAATAGTCTAATCGAGTATTTAAATCAAATAAATTTTGTTTTCAGTGTATTACTTTTTATCCCCTTTTTTTTCAAAAATAAAAAACTAGTCGCTGCATATTTCTCAACATACAAAAAAAGAAAATAGTAATTTCAATTTGACGGAAATTTTCTTGGAAAATCAAGTCTATTGAAATTTTGCAAAATGTATATCACATGAATTTTCTTGGAAGTGAAGGTTTCTTTCTATAAATCTCAAACGAGATGAAAGTAAAAATGCAAAAAAAAAAAAAAAAAAAAAAAAAAAAAGTAAAACGAGCTTCATTTGAAAATTCCATCTGAACAGTTGGCTTGAGTGAACTCAATTCTAAGGTCCTTAATCTTCTAGACGGGTACTTAAATTTTAAAGGTTGAGTGTTTTTCCAAATAGAAGGAAAAAACAAAAAATCTTTCGTAAACATATTTTATTATTTATTAGATGTTTTTACGGGACGATGAGATTTCAATTTTTTATGATTCTGGAATTATTAATTATTAATAAACATTAAAATTTATTAGAGAAAGATAATATCTTTGGATAATTGGAATTTCTTTTTTTGCATAAAAATTTTAGTTTTTTTTTTTATAAATAGAATGTATATGGAATAAGTTGACTGCAGTGTTTGCAGTAAACTACAAAGTATCTCTGAAATATATATATGTAGCTTAAACTATAGAGTGGATCTTATTAGTAATAAAGTAAGAACAACTGTCATATATCTCGAAACACTGTTAAGCAACTGTTATCTAAACTGCAACATCTACAATAGCACTATTACCTCTATATATTATTTCTATGAGAACATCGTGTTGCACATGTATATATACATGCAATTGTATATATAAGCTTTCATACAAGGTAAACGTTTTAGTAGACCACAATTTAATGAACGCACTAAATAGGAATTGACAATTAGCGGTCAAGAGTTGAAATCTACCATATTTCTGAAGTATCCCTAAAATAACCGATAATAACAAACCTATTATTTAGAAAATTAGTATACCACACAGTGTTAAATAATAAATGACTACATAATATCTCGTTAATCAAGAAAAAATTATTTATTAAAACAATTTCAATAATTAAAAAAAAAAACATAAAAAATAGTTTTTTCTTTAATATCACTGTAAAAAAAGGGGAGTTGAATTTCAACTCCCTAGCGTAGGGAGTTAATACTTTGCGAATTAATTTTATGCCTAGGGAGTTAGTTTTAAGGAGTTAATTTAACTATTAACTCCCTTGTTGAGTTGATTTTTAACACGAAAAATTTTGACTCCCAACTCCTGGCGCCGTTAACTCCCTAATTTTTTTTAATTTATATTTGAAAACATCCTTTTTTTTTATCCGTGCAATCGTAAAAGTTGCCAACTTTATTCTAACGACTTATTCATAATAGCCTATTCGTCTATTCAAAAAATGAAACAAAAAATCTTTTTTCCAATTCTATGTGTGCAATAGAATAAAATTTACATCTTTTGCCATACACTTAGATGTACATTTAACTACAGTATAAAAAATATATCTTAAAAACTTTTTTGGAAAATTCATCATTATTCCACATATTTCATGAAAATAAATTTTTTTTTAAATATTTTATCTCGAAAGTATCCATAAAAATGAAAATCCCTAAAATAAAATTTTACGTTTTTGAATTTCTTTCTTCAGTTACCTTATTTCTTGTACACTAAAGAAAATTTTTTTTTTTGATTCAAATACTCGATTATTTGACTATTATCAAATAAATATTTATTTGTATCAAATAATTATTATTTGAAATGGTATTTGTTTTAAATACAAAAAATTATTGGTTCAAATACAATTTATTTAATTCAAATAAAAATTATTGACTAGCAAATAAATATATACTTGAAATAATTTTTATTTTAATTAATCTCTATTTGGACCAATAATTTCTGTATTTAAAAATGCTATTTTTAAGTGAAATAATATTAATACAAATAAATATTTATTTGATAATAGCTGAGTAACCGATTATTTGAATCAAATAAATTTTTCTTTTTTTTTTTAGTATAAAAATTTGTAAAATTAAAAAATTATGTAAATTAAAAAAAAAAAAATTCCTCTATTTAAAATTTCTCTATAAAAATCTTTTGAGTAAATAATAATTATTTCCTCATTCGGTGTTTAAAAACAGAAAAAAAAGAAATTATATAAAAATAAAACATTTATAAAATGGAAATCATACCAAAGAGCTTACGAGAGCTTATTCAAATTATACGAGTTATATTTTCCAGGCAATTTCGATTTTCACCCTCATCTACATTTCCATAAAGCATCTTTACCCTTTCAATGAAAATTTGCATAATTCTGTTGAGTCTTTTCTTCTTCAAGTATTGTAATTTCAATCAAAATCTTAACATTTCGAGATTGTAAATTATTTCACAAAGATTAAAGAAAAAAAATCTACATTTACGAGAGTCACTGTTTATTTCACTCATTATACAGGGTGTTCCAAAAGTATGGAAACTTGCAAATATCTCGAAAAGTACGAATTTTTGTAAAAAATGTTCAAGACAAAAAAATGTTCCAAACAAAAAGATGTACATCTTTGAAACCAAAAAATTGGTCCCGGAGCCCAATGTTGGGCCCTACAATGAAAAAAGTGATTTTCTTAAATGATATCACTAATTTTCAGTATCAAATTCGTAATCCCCATGAAATTCTGCGTTCAGACATGTGGTATAAGTGCCCAAAATATTGGGCCCAATCCAAGATATTGGGTCCATAATTTATCAACAAATAAATAAATTTTAAAAAATCGCATCTTGGAGGGATTTTGATATCACAGGATTAGAAATTGGAAGCTAATTTTCAAATTGGGCATAGAGCCCAATGTAAGATTCCGCCGCTCAATGTGAGGCCCACAGTAAAAAAAAATTAGTTGTCTTAAATAAAACCCATTAATTTTCAATATCCAATTCGTAATCCCCATGAATTTCTGGGTTTAGATTTGTAGTAAAAATGACAAAAATATTGGGCCCAATGTCTGGTATTAGGCCCAACAATTTTTCGTTAAATAAATAAATTTAAAAAATCGTATCTTTAGGGGTTTTTGGGATCACAGGATTGGAAATTTGAAGCTAATTTTCAAATTGTATACACAAAGCCCAATGCAAGATTTCGCGGCCCAATGTGAGGCCCACATTAAAAAAAAAAAAAAATAGTTGTTTAAATAAAACCCACTAATTTTCAGTATCTATTTCAGAATCGTTATGAAATTCTGTGTTTAAACTTGTAGTACAAAAGCCAAAAAATATTGGGCCCAATGTCTGGGATTGGGCTCGATATTTTTTGACAAATAAATAAATTTATAAAATCGCATCTTTTGAAGTTTTTGGGATCACAGGATTAGAAATTCAAAGCTACTTTTCAAATTGGGCACAGAGCCCAATGTGAGACCTACAATAAAAAAATTAGTTTCCTTCCATTTCGTAATCGTTCTGAAATTCTGGACTTAGACTTGTGGTACAAATTCCAAAAATATTGGGCCCTCACATTGGGCGGCGGAATCTTACATTGGGCTCTATGCCCAATTTGAAAATTAGCTTCAAATTTCCAATCCTGTGATCCCAAAAACCCCTAAAGATACGATTTTTTAAATTTATTTATTTGTCAAAAAATATCGAGCCCAATCCCAGACATTGGGCCCAATATTTTTTGGCTTTTGTACTACAAGTTTAAACACAGAATTTCATAACGATTCTGAAATGGATACTGAAAATTAGTGGGTTTTATTTAAACAACTATTTTTTTTTTTTAATGTGGGCCCTCACATTGGGCGGCGGAATCTTACATTGGGCTCTATGCCCAATTTGAAAATTAGCTTTCAATTTCTAATCCTGTGATCTCAAAATCCCTCCAAGATGCGATTTTTCTAAAATTTATTTATCTGTTGATAAATTTTGGACCCATTATCTTGGAATGGGCCCAATATTTTGGGCACTTATACCACATGTCTGAACGCAGAATTTCATGGGGATTATGAATTTATCACTGAAAATTAGTGGTATCATTTAAGAAAACCACTTTTTTCATTGTAGGGCCCAACATTGGGCTCCGGGACCAATTTTTTGGTTTCAAAGATGTACATCTTTGTGTTTGGAACATTTTTTTGTCTTGAACATTTTTTACAAAAATTCGTACTTTTCGAGATATTTGCAAGTTTCTATACTTTTGGAACACCCTGTATAATGAATAACACTGTATACGTTGGTATTTAAATTATTTGTATTTTTTATAAATATTGCAATTTGCGAAATGTTTTATAAAATATTGATTCTTGAATAAATACCGCGTGGTTGAATTTCACTTTGCTTTTAAAACAACATTTCATAATTAAAGCAGCTTTTATGGCTATATAACGTATTTTATTAATAAGGAAAAAAGCCTTTTAATATACCATTTACTTTTTTTTTATGAAAGTTTTTCTGAAATACTAGTCGGAAAAGTTTGAAGAATTATTTCCATATAAAAATTTATAATTTAATTGACTATTTTTTATTACATATTTTACATATATATATACATGTAAATTACATGTTTTAATCATAAAACAAGAATTTTTAATGATTGAAATTTATTTTTTATGAAAATTATTATTGAAAAAAAATTTTCTTTACATTATACATAATTGGGTGATATTTTAAATAAAGTAAAGCTTAGTGATATATGAATTTTTTTTATATATATATATAAGAGTAGCTTGAAAATGATAACAGAGGAGAGATAGCTTTTCTTGATGAGGTTTCATGGCTATTGCGCTAGAAAGGGAAAGAAAGCTTTTACTGGTAAATTGCTTGAATGCAAAATTTCCCTTGATGCTCTTATTCTAAGCTGGGATTTTGCATAGAAACATATTTGATGAGGGTCGAGATGAAAAATAAAAGTAAGAAGCAAAAGATTAGCGACATATTTAATGGCTCCCATTTACATTTAATCCACCAAGTAATGATGACGTCCCTTTAAATGGTTTTACTCTTATCAAATAAATATTTACTTGAACCGAATAATTATTAAATATTTGAATCAATAATTTCTCTATTTGTAACAAATATCATTTAATTAAATAATAATTTAATAATATAATAAATATATAATACAGTAATATAATATATAATAAATTATTAAAATTTTATTAAATAATAATTCGATACAAATATTTTATAATAAATATTTGTATTAAATTATTATTTAATTAAATAGTATTTCAATTAAATGATATTGCAAATAGAGAAATTATTGGTTCGAACATTTAAAAATTATTCGGTTCAATTAAATATTTGTTTGATAATAGTCAAATGTATTTGAAAGTCATTTTTTTCAATTTAGAATTTAAAAAATAACTTTCTTAATTAATTCTTTATCAAAAAGTAAAAAATGTTAATTTAAAATTTTTTTTAAAATAATTTTAGAGTAAAAATAGTTATTAAAATGAAAAGTGAGATTTTTTTTGCAAACGTATGTAACATGTCAATTTTCTGCTTTATGATGCTGTATTATCGAGGAGGTTTCCTCAGATTAATCGAACGTCAGTTTGTCAGTATGTGTTAATTACTCAACTCTGTTGAAATGCTAATGAGTTGGCATGCAAAGGAACTTCGAATATATCGAAGGGGCACTTCATTCATTCGAGTATAATCAATATCTGTTCAAAACTTGTCAATAACGATAGAAATTGTTGGATACTTTATGACAGTTTTTAAGAAAATACTTGATACTTTTATATATGTTTACATTTTGCATAAACCATTATTTTGAAATACTATACATTTTTTTTTTTTTTTGTTTTTTTTTTAAATTTAAAAAGAAATTTTAATGTTTTATTAAAAGAGCATATTAAATTCTCATGTATCAAATGTAGTATAAAATTAATTTGAATTTGAAACTTACTTTCTAAAACTCGTTATCGAAATCAAATTGAGACATATATCAATTTAACTTGGCGATTTGTAGGTTGAATGCAAAATTTATATATTAAAACCCAACTATTTAAACTTTCATAACATTAATGGAATATACCGCACATGAAAGATAAACCTCATTAAAATTTTACCCCATGGGATAATATTATGTTTTAGTTGATTATTTTATTTCACATTCAAAGATTTGAGATTCTATCCGCAGAGCTTTTATAGAATATATATATATATATATGAGTAAAGGCAGATAATATGAATAAAATCGCGAATTCATACAATTTGGAAATTATTTTTCAAAAATTAAAAATTTTCCAAAAAACACAAAATTGTTTTAAACAAAATTCTATTAATATCAAAAGACCTTTCAAATTATAACCACTGTCAAAAATCTAATTTTATTCGCAAAAATGTTTATAAGATTTTCTGTATAATGTTTTGGACATTTTTTTTTTTTTTTTTTTTTTTTGCAAATGCATTAGAAATTGGCATTGATCCAAAATAAAAGGTAAATTGAAAAAAAGCAAATTTTGAATAACCAAAATTTTCCATATTATAATTTAAAGATGAAAGGATTTTTTTAATTTGCCTTTTTTTTTGCTGAGGGAAAAAGACACGTTTCGAGAAATCTAGAAATGAAGAAGAAGAAGAAGAAAAATAAAAATAACAAATACTTTATAAATTCGTCCAGATGGACAGACGTTTCCGTCTCTTTAATAATTCATGACACACAGCTTCGAATACTGGCTCTATATAAAGTAAGATAGTATTATGCTTTTCGTGTAGTGATCTAGTTTTCCGCTTCATCTTCTCAAACAAAAATGTTTATTTATACAAATATATATATATATATATATTATATACTTATGCATATATTGCCTAATCTTCAAAAATAAAAACGAGAACATTCTTTAAAAAACCAATTTTTTATCGAAATAATAAACTAATTTATTTTTTATCTAAAAAATAATAATAAATTTAATAATAATAAAATTATTATTATTTATTTAATAATTTTTTTTAATTATTGATTCGAATACAGCTTATTTGGTTCAAATAAAAATTATTGAACTCGAATACAGTTTATTTGATTCAAATAGAAAAATTATTTAGTTTTAAAAAATTATTTAGTTCAAATAAATAATTTTATAATAGCCAAATAATCAATTATTTAAATGAAATAAATTTTTTTTATTGTAGAAATTAATTTGATTTAAAAAAATATATATATTTGAATATTTATTTTAACAATAATTGGAGCAAATAATTTTTTTTTATTGTATTAGAATATTGAAATAGAAAATTTAGAAATTAACTTGTGAATAGACTTTTTTTTAAAAAAAAGTTAATTAGATGGACTTGTAATTACATGTTAGACATGAAAGCTACTTTCATTCTATTATTCTCCCTAGAGAATAGAAGACAGAGGTCGAATAATAATTCACCCTTTAGCCCATGGTCAATATTGCGACACGCAACAGAAACTTTTTCAAATATTTAATATATATATATATATATATATATATATATATATATAGGAGAACGTAACGAATTTAAGAGATCTTTTTTAACTAAAAGTAAATATTATTAAATTCTTTCCTGAGTTAAAGAAAACTTTTTTTTCTTCTATTTATTACATTTCAAAAATAATTATTAAAATTTCAGAATATAATATATTACTCTTTTTTTTTGTTTTATTCATTTGTTATTTAAACTATAAATATTTCAAAAGTTTTTAAATTAAATTTAGTTTTTTTTTATGAATTCAAAAAAAATTAGGTATTTGAAATATTTTAGAATGATGTTTTGGAAAATTTTATCAAGACACGACTTGCAAAATTTTGTTCGTGAAATTACCAGATGATAACAATATTAAACAGGAAACAGCGAGACAAGCTCTTAATAAATGTGATTATCATGAAACCTTATTCACCCTAACTCCTCCATTATAGTGGTTGTTAATAAATTATCCCCCGCATAATAACCAAACGCGCATCAAATCCATTATGTAAAATTATTAACTTAACATTTATGGTATTATCATGAAAACAATAGTTTTTGTTTAACATTTTTTTTTAGGTTTTTTTTTTTTTTTTATTTAATTTTGTATTTTGATTCTGTTATTTCTTTGTATGTGGATAAATAATTCTAATTTTTAAAAAAATAGCATAAAAATAAATGAGATAATTTTGCTTTTATATTTTAATTATTTACTAAAGGATTTATATAGAGGTGTCAATATTTAAACAGGCTTGACTTAAATGGTGACCTAACGTGCTTTTGAGAGAGATTCGTGGCTTGAAGAAGGTAAGCTCATCTTCAATATTAAACGACGAAACTGCAAGGCAATTTTGCGGCGTGACAACAATAATTTAATCGGCTTCTCTCTCTCTCTCTCTCTCTCTCTCTCTCTCTCTCTCTCTCTCTCTCTCTCTCTCTCTCTCTCTCTCTCTCTCTCTCTCTCTCTCTCTCTCTCTCTCTCTCTCTCTCTCTCTCTCTCTCTCTCTCTCTCTCTCTCTCTCTCTCTCTCTCTCTCTCTCTCTCTCTCTCTCTCTCTCTCTCTCTCTCTCTCTCTCTCTCTCTCTCTCTCTCTCTCTCTCTCTCTCTCTCTCTCTCTCTCTCTCTCTCTCTCTCTCTCTCTCAGCTTTATAAATCATTTTCGCTCTTCATTTATTGTAAAAGAGAAAAAAAGTATATATCTTTTTCACAAAAAAAAAGAAACTTTGCAGAAATACAATATTTCTTGCATTTCTTCTTTTTTTCATTCTCTTTTTCTCATTCTTTGAATGAAAATATCCCAATTTGAATGTGATATTTATCAGAAAAAATAAAGCACTTTTTTTTATAATGTAACTTTTTTTTATATACTCCCAAATTTTCTATTTTTTAAATCATATTTTTTCAAACAATTTTTCTACTAGAAATTTTAATTCACGAAAAATTTGTTTTCTTTTCATATCAAAATAAATCGATTGTGACCTATATATAAAAATTCCATTTCAATTAATAGATAAAAATTCAAATTTTCCTTTTTTTCCCAAAAATTGGAAATTTTTTATTACCACCAGTAAAATGTTTTATTGTTTGTAAAAATTAATTTCTATTTTTAAATAAAACAAAAAATTTTGCGATTTTTTTTTTTTTTTTTTAGGATTCTAAAAACATGTAGCGACTGAAATATGAAATAGTATCGTACCACTCACCACATGTTGAAGAATTTTTCTCGTACTTTACGTTTCACGCTATCACTTTTACGTCGGTATTGCAATCTGCGACATGCTTCCGATGAAATGGGTTCCGGAAGTTGCTTGTGGAAGCCTGCGAACAAAAAGGAGATTGAAAAATCGTTTGATAATAATAATGTAAGAAAAGTGCAATGGAAACGATTTTTTTTCTTTCTTGATTCAAAAAAAAAAAAAAAAAAATCAAAAATTTCGATACCTTTCTTTTTATTATGAAAAAGAAGCGCGCAATTAAATTCATCATCAGTAAAATCATATCTAATTTAAAAAAAAATCCCCCAGTAGAACAAAAAAAAAGTTCCAACAATGAAGCTTTAACGCTTTCATATTTAATTATTCAAGTTTAAAAAGCTTTCAATCGCAATCTTAGATGAAATTAATTTTTACTTGAAGTAAAAAGTAGGGTTTGAAAATGAAAAATTCTATTTTACTTGTTTGATAATAATAATAATTAATAATAATTTTACGTTAATTAAATTTCCACAAGGAAAAAAAAAAAAAAATGAAAAACAAAATTTCAAGATAAAATCCTGGCGTTTTATTGAATAGCCAAGATATTTCCTAATGAACGTTAAAAGAGAATTAACTTGATAAGGAATTTTCTCACTTTATTTTAAAGCCATGAAAGCATTCCTTCATTCCAAAGACGTAATTAATTTTCACAGGAGAAATACATTGGCTTATAATTCAATGCAAACAAATACTATTGTCAAAAAAAAAAAAAAAAACACAAAAATTTATCCATTTTTTTGAAAATGCATTAAAAATTAATTTTAAATGCAATAATTTCTTATAAGAGTAATTAAAATTGGAATAAAAGTCATTATATAAAAATTAAAAGTAGTTCTTAATTAAACCTTTTGTGATTCTAAATGACATCAGAAGGCCAATTTTCTTTTTATTGAAAAGATAATTAAAATTAAATTATACTCTTATATATGTGAAAAAGAAAAATTCTTTCTATTAAAGAAATAAAGAAGAAATAAAAAAAACCAGAAATATAAAGAATGAAAACTACCCGTGTGGAAAAAGCCACGATCTTGCCCTCAAGAGTTCGGGGCCCCCGGCGGGGGCCCATGAGGGCTGATCCATATGGCGAATCCATGAGGGGCACCGTAGGGGCCCCGCATGGATCGCCCTCATGATCGATTAGCAAAATTTTCTAAGTCCAAAAATCAAATATTTTTTTATCACCAAAAAATTAATGTTTATAATGATTCACAACAATGAAAAACGCGTTTTTAATTAAAATATATTTTCACTTTTTTTGAAAATAACACTCACACTTATGGCGAATCCATGAGGGGCACCGTAGGGGCCCCGCATGGATCGCCCTCATGATCGATTAGCAAAATTTTCTAAGTCCAAAATTCAAATATTTTTTTATCACCAAAAAATTAATGTTTATAATGATTCAGAACCACGAAAAACGCGTTTTTAATAAAAATATATTTACACTTTTTTGAAAATAACACTCACACTTATGGCAAAATAGATGAGGGCCACCGTAGGGGCCCGCATGGATCGCCCTCATGATCGATTAGCAAAATTTTCTAAGTCCAAAAATCAAATATTTTTTTATCACCAAAAAATTAATGTTTATAATGATTCACAACAATGAAAAACGCGTTTTTAATTAAAATATATTTTCACTTTTTTTGAAAATAACACTCACACTTATGGCGAATCCATGAGGGGCACCGTAGGGGCCCCGCATGGATCGCCCTCATGATCGATTAGCAAAATTTTCTAAGTCCAAAATTCAAATATTTTTTTATCACCAAAAAATTAATGTTTATAATGATTCAGAACCACGAAAAACGCGTTTTTAATAAAAATATATTTACACTTTTTTGAAAATAACACTCACACTTATGGCGAATCCATGAGGGGCACCGTAGGGGCCCCGCATGGATCGCCCTCATGATCGATTAGCAAAATTTTCTAAGTCCAAAAATCAAATATTTTTTTATCAACAAAAAATGAATGTTTCCAATGATTCAAAACAACGAAAAACGCGTTTTTAATAAAAATATATTTACACTTTTTTGAAAATTCGCCTGAGATGATTCATGATAATAATCATAAAGCATATAATTAATTATATTTTATAAATTGCATTTGATTGGAAAATATAATTTAATATCTTAACTTTAACTAAATGATGTTAAGCACTTTTCTTTGTTAGGTATTTTTCAAGTTTAAATAGCATCAAGAAGTTAGCATTCGTTTTGAAGTAGCGTGCGTAGCGTAGTTGGTAAAGCGTTAGACTCATAGTCCGTAGGTCGTAGGTTCGATTCCCCCCATGCGTTAGATTTATTTATTTCTCAGGTTTGCGTTTAATCATTAATTCTATGTATGAATTAATTGAAAAATGAAAATATCGGTTAATAGTATGCATAAATTACATATTTTTTAATTTTTTAATTAATTAATTTATTATTACTTTTAATTATATCCGACAGTTAATTAATTAGAACGTTAATTAATAAATTCAATTTGAGTAAGAATTTAATTTAAAATTGAATAATTATTAAATAAATATGTTATTTATTCATAACTTAAGCTTATTTATTATCAATTAACTTTTATTATTAATATTATTGATTAAAAAACATTATGGCAAACTTGAGGGCAAGATGAGGGCAAACGTGAGGGCCCATAAGGGCGCCCGTAGGGGCACCCTCATGGATCGCCCATGCGGGCGCCCTCATCGATGAGCATGTCGTTTCCATGAGGGGCCCCTATGGATCATCCATATGCGCCCCTCATGGCATGAGGGCGATCCATAAGGGCCCCCGCTGGGGGCCCACATCACTTTTCCACACGGGTAATAGAAATTCTTTTAAATTAAAAAAAACAAAACATATTGAAATAATTAAAATTTTTTGATAGAATTTCACCGAAGGTCTATAAGTAATACTAAAATTAGATTTTTAGTTATTGCGGAAATATTATGAAAAATAATCTAAAAAGAGATCACGCGTCAAGTTCGAGGATTTCTTTAGCTTTTATTAAAATATTGAGAATTTAGACGAAAAGCTCTCGAAAGATATAGGAATATAGAGGTAAAATTGCGTTTGCAAGGACAAATATTTATTCAGCAGCATGCGCATTCTGCCAAGGAGCTGATATTTATTAGTTCATATATACGTCATTCTCATACTATATGTGATCACAATTTGTCCCGTGGATGGGGTTTAAAAGAAAAATTATTTTCATTTTCCAGAAGAAATTAAAAATTTTCATTTTCAACAAGATAATTAAAATTTACAAAAAGAATTATAATTTTTTATTTTCATTATAGATATTGAAAAATCGTGTTTAATTTCAGCTGATAAACATAAATTAATACATATAATCACACTCGGCTATTATATTTCCCCTTTTAAAACTGAAATGCATTTATTTTATACCAAAAATGTTGTGTCATTAAAAAAAAAAAACAAAAAAAATCTTATTAAAAATTATGAAATATTTTTTATTTTTACACACAGAGAAATATTTTATTTAAACCAAATATAATATATTTGAATTAAATAAACGTATACTACCCTTGTTATTTGGTGTAAATAATTTTTTTTTTATTTAAATCAAATAAAAATTTATTTGAAAAAAAAAAAATTTATTTAACTCTGAGAGACAATTATATTTTTTCTTTGGGTGTTTGGGTATTTTAAAATAGGAAAATTTTTTTATTTTTAAAAATCTTGATAAACTTACCTAACCAACTGAGATGCTCAATTGTTTCCAACTTTTGTTTTATAGCATTGACTTGTGCTTGAAGTTCACTAAGCGTGATACAAGCTCTTGACGAGGCCGCTTCTCGATGTTCTTGCTCTAAGGCCGACACTCGCCTTTCCAAAGAGCACACATCTATGTCAATCATTCCCGAAGTACTAGGATGAGCTCCAACAACCTTTACAAAAAGAATTTAAAACATTTTTATTTTTTTTTTCCTTAAAATTTACCCAACAATTGAAAGGAAATGAAATTCAGTGCAATAAATTTGAAAGTCCATAAATATTTTTTCTATATTAAAGTCCAAAAAATAATTTCTTTTTTTTTTTAAATTCTCTTTTTTAATTGAAAATATATAAGGGATCAAATTATTATTTACATTCAGAGAAATCTTTTATTTTATAAATATTTATTTGTTTCAAATAAATTTTATTAAAAAAATGTTTATTTGTGCAAAATTAAATTTTTTGTTTTAAAAAAATTATTACTATATGAGGCAAATGTATTTTTTATTTTGATTTAAGTGAATTTTTTTTTTGTTTCAAATAAAAATTTTAATTTGATAGAAATAACATTTTTTTATTTAAACCAAATAAAATTTATTTGAAACACATAAAATTTATTTAAATCAAATAAAATTTATTTGAAACACGTGAAATTTATTTAAATCAAATAAAATTTATTTGAAACAAATAAATGATTTGTCTTTGAGACAAAAATAATTTTTCTCTTATGTAATAAAGTTTGTATAAAATTTTTTCTATTTCTATTAGTATTTCTTTAAGTTTGCTTCTCAATCTAAAAAATTTGATCTATTATATTTGATTGTATAAATATATATACGCAAAGGCAAGAACCGCAAGTGAACTATATAGAGAACCCGAGAACTTACGGTTAACCTGTGTAATTAACAAAAACCACTTTTCACTCAAGTGCTTTGATGTTAACATTTCTGAATTTTCATTAACCTATCTTCCTCTACATACCTACATAATAAACTGTTAAATTAGTCATATTTCTAATTCGTTTTGTGTTAAAATCACAAACGCTAAATATTCCAGCTTGAAATTTTAATTAATTTTTTTTTTTTAAGAATTTTTAAAGATACAAATAGATGACAGACATAAGTTTTAAAATAAAATTTAGAAAAAAGAAAATTACAGATTAGATAGTAAATAAAAATATAACGTTGGACTGTATATAATAGAAAATAATTAAAAATAAAAAAAAAGAAAAACTAAATATAAATAATGGAAAGTTAATTTTTTTTTTTTTTTTAAAGGGACGTTAAATAAAAAAGCTTCATTCTTAAATACATGGTAAACCTTGAAAATAAACCTTGAAAGTAGTGGAAGAAGACACATCCTGCATCGTTACCTGCAGGATGTAGGGATCTTCAGATGTATTTGCCGGCAATTGTGGAGAGATGTTTAAGATTTTTTCCCCTTTTCGAAGTTTCACAATATCAAGAGGTCCAGCCTCTGCTGCATTTCTAAAAAGATCTGCAAAAAAAAAAATTACACATTAATTTTTTATAGTTTCTACAAAAATTTATTTATCGTATTATTTTAGTATAACTAAAATTTTCTCTGTGAACATTTTCACTATTTTATAATTAAAAAAAAAAAAAAAAAAAAAAAAAAAAAAAAAAAAAAAAATGGAAGACACTCGTGTTACACTTCACATTAATACAAAGTTTCAGATTAAAAACAAAGTGCGCCTCAAGGTAAAAATTTATAATTAGAAACGTCCATTTCAACGCATTTAAAAAAAAAAATAAATAAATTCCTGTAATTTAACTCAAAAACAGTGCGTGTTAAATTCATCATCTTAACATAAATAAAATGAGATGAATAAAAAAAAAAAAAAAAAAAAAAATTTTTTTCATAAAAATGAGGTGAAAAAAAAATTCATAAACATGAATGGAGAAAGAAATTAATACCTACCTAGTAGTGTATTCAATTTTCTATATATTATATTAACCTTAAGGAAATATTCATATTTCAAAATGACTAAGACCAAAATTTGATGAGGTTGCTGTTTTCAAAAAACGTGAAAGCTCGTCGTCGGGATTTACATTTGCAGAGAGAGAAAGAGAAAGAGAGAGAGAGAGAGAAACGAGGAGTAGATGAATAATGAGACGCTTATGAGCCACCGTCAGAGTTGCAAAAATTAAATTAAAAATTAAAGCTTCATCCAAGGTACCATAACGCTCTCTGTAATAATATGAATGCTTTTTCTTTTTTTTTTTTTTTTGCAAAATAGTTTCTTGAAAGAAAGAGAGACATTTTTTTTTATACCGAAAAAAAAATTCTATTTTTCGAAATAATTTCTACTTAAAATAAATAATACTTTATTCAAAGTTAAATTGCTTTGAAGAAAATTTTTATAGTTTCACCCCTAGAGAGTGAGAGAGAAAGAGAGAGAACTAACTCGTTTCGTAGCGTTTAATTGTACAGTGAAGTATTACTCTGAAAGTGATCTAAATGTCATTTCTAACTTTGCTGGAGTCCTTTATACAACAAACCAAATATGAGTTTTGCGCATCATCCAGGGATTTATAGAACGGCAAATGTGTCAAGTTCTCAAAGGAAATTAATTATTATTATTTTATTATGAAAATAATTTATAATTAATTTTAAAAATTGTGAAATTTGCAAAATTGTATATAGGCACTACAATTAAAAAAAAATTTATTTGTATCAAATAATCGGTTACTTCATCCAGAGAAATGATATATTTGCCACAGAGCAATAAATATTTATTTGATTCAAATAAATTTTTATTTAATTCAAATAAAAATTGAATTATTTATTTAATTTGATTTAAATAAAAAATTTTATTGACTATTATCAAATAAATGTTTACTTGAACGAAATAATTTTTATTTAAATTGAATAAATTATATTTAAACCAATAATTTCTGTATTTGAAACAAGTAGAATTACATTTACTTAAATAAATATTTGATTCAAGGAAATAAATATTTATTTAAATTGAAATAAGGAAATATTTATTTGATGCAAATAAATATTTATTTGAATTAAATAAAAAAAAAAAATTTTTTTTTCAGTGATATATATTAAATATATTGGTTTTGTTTCTCACAGAATGTTTCTTGGTATATAGTGAGCGCGCAGAGTCGTATATAATCAACAAAATAATGAATCAATTGAGCGGCCTGCAATAAAAACATAAACGTCCATCGTACATTCGTGATTCACGTTTCATTATCCTATTAAATCTAATGCATGCGTGGAGAAGATAGTTCTTCTCCACTTACGCACCCCTATCATTTCTCTTTAGAGATCATAAATACAAAAGAATAAAAAGTGATACAAATACGTTTCACGATTGTATATATTTATTTTAATAAATACAAATAAATAATAAATAAAGTTATTATCATACAAGTTGAAAATGAAAGTAAAACTAAATTTCCCAAAAAAAAAAAAATCCTTTTTATTATTTAAATACACATAAAGATAATAAAAATCCACTATATTTGGGTTTGATATTTTATTGATGTTATCGTAAAAACATTTTGGTGATTTACGTGAATTTTTGAGGAGTAACGCATTGCCTCGTAAAAGTGGTCGTAAAAAAAAGAACATATGTGATGAAAAAATCAATTTTTTCAAGAAATAAGTTGAAAAAATATAGGTATGTAAAATAGAGATTCGAATGACAAATCAGTGATTTCTTAAACATATTGAATTCACCCATATTTTTTTTTCCGAAAAAGAAAATAAATATCTACATTTAGAAATATGTTTGATTCAAAAAAAAAAAACTTTCTTTAATATAGGGACAATGTTTTCTTTAATTTAAAGAAATACTTTTTTCAATTTTATTTAGAATAAAAAAAAAATTTTCTTTAAATAAACTCTTCTTTAAATCGCAAATTATCTTTAAATTAAAGAAAACATTTCTTTCACCCTATCACAGAAAATTATAACCCACTTGGAAAGATTCTCCGGAAAGTGCCCCCTGTAGGTTCTATCAGAATTCCTTCGGAACTTCCAACGTAATTCCGTCGTAATTCCATCGGAGTTCCAAAGATTTTCCGATTGGATTCCGACGGAATTAGGACTCTAACAATTTTGAAAAAAAAATTAATCGGAATTCCGTCGGAATCCCATCGGAAATTCTTTGGAAACCCGATGGAATTCCGACGGAATTACGTTGGAAGTTCCGGCGGAATTCTGATAGAACCTCCATCAGGGGGCACTTTCCAGGGAATCTTTCCAATGCCTTTTAATTTTCTGTGATGGCAAAGAAACAATTTTCTTGGTGTATAGTTAAAAAAAAAATAATAAATTTAAGGGCTAAGAACCCTTAATATATTAAAAAAAAAAAAAAATAATTTTATTATTAATTTATCTTAAAGTCCCGTATATAAATAAATAATAATTGAAGATTTTGATGTTATATGAAATAAATAATTTTAATCGAGTTATAAAGCACGGGAAATTTAATCGCGCTTCAACTCTAAAAGTTCGTGCTCGATTATAATCGCGGGGGACTTTATAATAATAACAATAATAATTCATATATATGAATCGTGCTTGAGTAAACCATCAGGAGCGACAAAAGTCGTTGGGTTTGAGTATAATTATCGTCGATTCCACTCGATGTCGCAAATATTGTCGGTGCTTAAGGCATTAAGAGTTCCCCTTTGACCACTCCTGGTTCAATTAGTAAAACGGTTTGCTCGGTAAACGAGATGCGGATCGCACAAGTTCGTATAATATATATATATATATATATATCATGCATCCGTCGACCTTCGACTCACACCCTCAAAAAAAAAAAAAAAAAAAACTCAAAAATCCTTCAAATCGTATTTGCTTAATTATAATTTATATCAAATATTTTTCCTAGAAGTTTATAAAAAATTTTCCCTAAAAAAGAAAATAAATTATTTTTGTAGAATTTTTTTTTTCCATCAGTCCAAGTTAAATGAAAATGTTCAAAGCTATTTCCATTAATAAATATTTCATGAAGGTTGTAGAAACTTAAAAGATTAATTTGAAAGATTAATAATGCAAGAGATGTTTCACGAAAGGTAAACTGGAATTATTTAATAATAATCAAACTAAAGTATAGCTGTTTGTTAGCCATAATTTTTGAATTTATTTTTTGTTATACCTTTTTGCTCTACTGAAATCATTTTCATGTTCCATTTCTACTATAGCAATAGTAAAATTATTTACATGATAAACGTATTAAATTTCATTGACATGAAGACACATCCTTTTTTTTCTAGTTTCAAAATTTTATTCTTTTAAAGCAAAAATACCATTATTATCCATTGTCTATTTTTGTTATTCACAATAGTGTTCTATATATATATATATATAGTCGAGAATCGTCAATTGTCCCTTAAAAAAGAAATTCACTTCACAAGAATGAAATATTGATCCTGCGCGCATCACATAGAATATACGGATTCAAACTAAATTTCTTTTATTTTATAAAAGAATATTTCATCTTTTCTATTTTTTTTTTCCAAAATTAGAATACTTTTTTTTTTTTTGTATTTCTGCTATACTGAAGTAGGAAAAAAACATGAGAGAAGTTGCAAAGCCACAAAAGGCAGAGAGAAAAAAAAAAGTGAGCAAGGCTTTACGAAAATAATGGAGCTTTCCTTTATGCCAAAGGAAAAATACACACATGCCTCTTGAGAAGGTTTTTATTCACTTAGGGGGTGATTCTAATTAAACGAGTCACACTCGAAGACACTGCATGGTGCTTTTTCTGATCGAATTTCCTCCTTATGAATACATAAAAATACATAAAAATACATAAAAATACATAAAAATACATGAAATAAAACAGACATAAAATACAATTGAAATATAAAATCAAATTTTATTTCTCTTAAACCTCTTTGCGGCATAGTGACACTCCTGAGTGTCACTTTTTTTCTTGCACTTTTTTGAATACTTCAGCCACTATTTTACACATTTCAGTAACAAAATGTATTTAAAATGTATTTTAGAATATCTATTACAATATAACTACATTAAAAAAGTGTTTTTTTTTATAAATAAAATAAATGTTATAAACAAATTAAATTTAAAAATAGCGTTTTTTTACGATAAATGTAATTGTGACTAAACAACAATAGGAAATAACCTAATAATAATGTCTATAAAGTTTTCGGGGTCGCTGATTACGAATCTGGCATCAGATTTTCAAAATTCAAAATGGCGGATCCAATATGGCAGATGAGAAAATAAAAAATTGATCGGATTTTCTTGAAACTTGTAACTCGTGGGTTTTTGGAGGCGCTGATTACGAATATGACGTTAGATTTTCAAAATTCAAAATGGCGGATCCAATATGGCGGATGAGAAAATAAAAAATTTATAGTAATGGCTTAAAACTTGTTACTCGGGGGGTTTTTGGGTCGCTCGTTACGAATATGATGTTGGATTATCAAAATTCAAAATGGCGGATCCAATATGTCGGATGACAAAATGAAGAATTGATCGGATTTGCTTAAAACTTGTTATTCGGGGATTTTTGAGGTCGCTGATTACGAATATAACGTTGGACTTTCAAAATTCAAAATGGCGGATGACAAAATGAAAAATTGATTGGATTTGCTTGAAACTTGTTACTACGGTGTTTTTTATGAATATGACTGGATATTTATAATTCAAAATGGCGCTTTTGTGTGTGTGTGTGTGTCTGTGATCAATTTGATCAATTTTCACAAAATTGTCCTCTATATTGGATCCGCCATTTTGAATTTTGAAAAACTAACATTGGATTCGTAATCAGCGACCCCGAAAACCCCTGAGTAACCAGTTTCGAGCAAATTTGAACAATTTGTAAAAAAAATTGTCCGACATATTGGGTCCGCCATTTTGAATTTTGAAAAACTGACATCGGATTCGTAATCAGCGACCCCGAAAACCCCTGAGTAACTAATTTCGAGAGGATATGATCAATTTAAAAAAAAAAATTGTCCGCCATATTGGATCAGCCATTTTGAATTTTTTAAATTTTTTAAATCTGGCTTCGGATTCGTAATCAGCGACCCTTTTAAACCCCCTATAATGCACTTTAAAGATTCAATTTCTGTTAAAGAAAAATGTATGCTTCAAAGGGTTAATAAAAATTGTTTATCATAATGTATCAAATATTAAAATTGTTTGACGAGATTGTACTCTGTGTGTGTGTGTGCAACGACTCGAATAATTTCTCTATTTAATATATTCATGCGATTTTTTTTTTCGAATGCAATGTATGATCCTATGTTTGTCGACACTTTGAGAATGTGTCGCTATGGAAACTCACTATGGGAGGAAGAAACACACAAGTCACGTGAGTCGACGCCTCTTTTAAACTCATCGCCACGATCGATTCCAATAATACCACTCAGAGTGAGGTTGGAAGATAGGTTTCTTCACCTACATTGTAGATTTTAATCAAATTTACGAAAGCAGGGATTTTTTTTTTACGAGAGCGTATATCAGATATCCAATGACGGTGTAAATAGTTTACGTTCAACATATATTTTATTGCAGAAGAAAAAAAAATTTTTTTTCTTAATTTTCTACTCTTGATGTATTTAGAATTAAATTTTTGTTGTATTTTGATTCTAACAAAGATGAAATTGACTTTCATCTTCTTTAGGAAAATTTACTGTGTAGCAATTGTTGTTTTTTTTTCAATATTATTTTACAAGGAGAAACTTAACAAGGAACTGGCTGAAGTGGCAGTGAATTTGCGTTGCGAGTACATTGAATCTGACAAGGGTTTGCTGGGGCTTGCACGAATAATCGATACTAATCCATGTGTTTCAGGCAAGAAAGCCTCTATATACGTATATATGTATATATGTATTTATATTAATTATTCCACTATATCGGAATTTCAAACTGTGTTGGAATTCCTTAGAGGCGAATTTCGATTGTCAAATTTTCATCTTAAATTATTCACAATATTCTCTACGATGATCTAATATAGTAGAAAAGTAGTAAAAATCGTAGCTTTAATATTTTTGCGAGAAAATATAATTTTTAGAAAAGATTTGAAAACTCATTAAACTACTTTTCTCTGTAATTAAAATTTAATTTCAGTTTTATTTAACTTTACTTTTGAAAAAAAAACACAATTATTCAGATTTGTTTTTTTTTTATAGAATTTAATAATAAAAGAAGGGTTTTCAAACAACTTTAGAGTAGATCCATAGAAATAATTTTATTTGGGACAAACAAAATTTATATACAAATAAAATTTTATTTCGATTTTTTATTTAAATGAAATAAAATTCAAATAATTATCTCTGTATCTTTTCTCTGGGTGTATTCTTAAGGTATTTTCTTTTATATAGGTATTTTCTCGTATAAAATACTTGATGGATTGGAGCTAAAAGTTTGTGAGGAAATTTATAGAATATTAGTTTAGAACAACTATCCCTTATAATATGCTTTAAGCTTGTTCACAAAATTTTAGCTCTATCCATCAAGTTATTGTACATACGAGAAAATCTACAGAGAATATTTACATGTCACCTAAAAGTTATACGATATAGTATTTATAAAATTAAATTATTTTCTAAACTGAGGAAAACATTTATTTGATTCAAATAATCACTATTTGTAAATAAATATTTATTTCTGTTTAATAATTATAATTCAATGGTAATACTATTTATTTAATTTTCATAAAAATTATTTGCTACAAATAAATATTTGTTTGATACACTGAAAAAAAAAAATATATACAAAATCTGCTTTTTATGTAATTTTTACCTTAGAACAAAATCAATGCAAAAAAAAAAGTTATTTTTGACATTAGTTTTGGTCAAAATTTTTGTCCAATAAATATTATACTAAGGTTAAAAATTTCATATTTAAATAAAAAGCAGATTTTGTGTACGTTTTTCTTTCTGTTCATACCAAAAAAAGAATTGAATTTAATGGGTAAAAATCCGTAAACTTTGGATATTTGTAATCGGGATGATGTTGTGCGGTCGTATTTGTGCAAGATCAATGCAGAAACATGGAATAGCAAACGGTTTTGTAATTTCCGCCAAATATCACGTCCCTCAAGAAGACTGTTGCTTTCCCAGGAAAAGCAGATTGATGTCTATACCAATAAATCGATGGTCCAAAATCGATATTTTTATTTCCTTTTATAACCATCACTTTGAGGGTCTCTTAAAAATTCAAAATTTTACCCAAAAATTTCTGTTTATCTTGACAATATTGAAAAATTGTATTTTTAGATGATGAAAAATTTTAATCAATTTTCCCTTTCACTCTCTCTCTCTCTCTCTCTCTCTCTCACTCTCAGGTATCGAATTTGATTACAACGTTATAACGGAAACGATAAAGTTTGTCAGACTTGTGACAAGAGTTTCTGGCTATAGTGCTTTGTGGTGGATAGGCAAGAGAAGCATTGGTAAACATAATTTCGACAAAGAACAAAGACTCCTGTCAGACAAGTGCTCGTGAACAAAGAGAACAATAGTGATCGGAATTTGTTCAAAGGGTTATATATATATATATATATATATATATATATATATATATTTATTTATTTAGAATTGAAGCACAACTTGGAAGATAAATCCAAAAATTGCTGACCAATAATATAAACATAATTTTTATGAAATATTTGAGAAATTCATTCGTATTCTATCTAAGTAATTGACAAAAAATTGTTCATTCAAATACTGAGAAAAAAAATTTATTGTTTGCAACAAAATTGTTTGATTAGGCAATTTTGGTTCTTGTAACCAAATTTTTGTTGGCTGAAACAAAGTCGTAGAGTTATCTCAACCAAACATTTTGTTAGGCCAACAAAATTATTTGGTTGAATATTTTTAAATTCTACTCTCTAAATTTGAATCAGTGAATTTCACTGCTAACCAGTTATAAGTATACCAAACCAGTGAAACTTCACTGTACCAATCAGTCAAATTTCACTGGTTTGGTATACTTATAACTGATTAGCAGTGAAATTTACTGATTCAAATTTAGAGAGCAACCAAAATTTGGTTACGACAAACAAAATAATTTGGTTAACACAACAAAATAGTTTGGTCTAAAAAACAAAATGATCGTTTGTTGTCCTAACCAAAAATTTGGTTACGACGTAATCAAATAATTTGATTCGCTCACAGCTTATACTCTCTAAATCTGAATTAGTAAAAATGTTTACTAATTTGAATTAGTGACTCACTTTTTGCTTTTGAATTAGTAAAATTTTACTAAATTATTAGTAACTTTTACTAACAATTAGTAAAATTTAACTAATTCAGAAGCAAAAAGTGAGTCACTAATTCAAATTAGTAAATATTTTTACTAATTTAGAGAGTAGCTTAAGAGAACAATTAGTTACCCAGGTGAAAAAATTAACGTTACTAACGTTACTAATGTTACTAAAGTTAGTACCTATAAAAAAAATTAAGAGTTTCTAAAATATATTTTCACAAAAACTTTGACACTACTTTCCCATTACCACTTTCACTTCCACTTAAACTTTTTATAATTTTCATTCCCATTTACATTTATACTTTTTCTAATTCTCATTCGCACTTCCATTCTCACTTCTACTCTTTCTAATTCTCATTCCCACTTCACTTCCACTTTTTCTAATTTTCATTCCCATTCCTATTTCCACTTCCAGTTTTTTTATATTCATTGCCACTACCACTTTTTCTAATTCTGATTCCCACTTTCACTTCCACTTCCACTTGTTCCAATTTTGATTCCCATTTTCACTTCCACTTTTTCTAATTTTCATTCACATTCCTATTTCCACTTCCAGTTTTTTATATTCACTGCCACTACCACTTTTTCTAATTCTCATTCCCACTTTCACATTTCACATTCACATTTCACTTTCACTTTCCCACAATGGAAGTGCGAATGAGAATTAGAAAAAGTGGAAGTGGTAATGTAAATAAAAAAGTGGATGTGAAAATGGGCATGAAAATTATAAAAAGTGAAAGTGGAAATGGAAGTGCGAATGAGAATTAGAAATAGTGGAAGTGGAAACGGCAATGAAAATAAAAAAGTGGAAGTGATAATAGAAATGAAAATTATAAAAAGTGCGGGTAAGAACATTAAATACTTCCTGGTGGTCGATTTTCGACAAGTTTCTGCAAAAATAAAATTTAGAAACATTTTCTTAATTTTTTTATATGTACTAACGTTAGTAACATTAGTAACGTTAGTAATATTAATAACGTTAGTAATGTTAATTTTTCTACCTGGGTATAATCTCTCACAAGTATGGGTAGTCCAGTGATCAGAGCTCTCGCAATTAAATTTACCAAATGAGACAAATGCCCGCACTAATGGAAAATGGAAATATATTTATTGGATGAAAAAAAATTTCCTTACCCTTGATTTCTTTATTGGTGACTTGGTCAGGTCGGAAACTGGCAATTTCTTTGCGGTTTCCAATAATAAAATGAATGATGCATTCCTCGTCGCCGTCGTTGTTGCCAGTGCCGTTTCTGGTCTCGTGATCCATGGCCACTTTGAACAATTAATCGATCGATTGAAATTGCACTTTTTAGCTTGTTCAATTTAAAAAAATGTGCCCTTTTCCCGGGACAAATCACCCCCTCTTCTTCCTCTTCTTCTTCTTCTTCTTCTTTTTCTTCTTCAGGGGATTGTCGAATGACGCGTTGCCCCTCCTTCGACGGGCTCATCGTCGCATCGCCACCCTGGCAGTTTTGCCCCACCCAATAATGATTGAGGACTCCGAAATATCCTGCGACAAATACCACTGATGAGAAGAATTCGAAAAACACCGTCGATAATTCACGACCGATGTCGACTCTTCTCTCTGCATTCTCCTTTTTAAGCCATTATCCATTCTGTAAAAAAAAAAAAAAAAAAAGAAATTTTATTCCTTCATTTTCAGTTTTCTTATTCTATATGGGAAAAAGATTTTTACAATTCAAACTTTATAATATATAATTTAAAGTTTTTGTTGAAAAAAAAAATAAAACCGAGTACGTGACAATTGTTCTTGAAATCGACTTGAGAAATTCCACACGTACATATCCTAGAATCCTGTGGAATCAAATAGAAAGCATTTGTGTTATGTCTGTTATCCAATACTACGATGCCATTTTGACCTAAAACGAATTCAGGTGAATCACTAGAGAGTTTGAACGAAATTTTTCATTGTGAATGGATTCTGGACGAATAGAATTCAATGCGTGATTTTACAATTTACATTTTCAAGAGAAGGCGACAAAAAAAAAAAAAGGTGGACAAAAAATAGTTTATATAAATTTGAAAAATAAAAACGTATTTGAAAAATTTGTGAATATATTTTTTGCGCATATTTTTTAGTAAAATTTTTTGTATTTGAATAAAATAAAATTTAATTAACGTAAAAATAATTTGCTTCAAGGAAATAAATATATTTATTTGTATCAAATAATTTTTGTGTGTTTTTTTTAGTTTTTATAATATTATATAGTCAAAGGAAAGACGTTTTTCACAAAGCACTTTGAAATTTTTTTTTTTCCCCCTGGTATCATATCTTTTCCAAAGATATAATTAGAGGGAATATTGTTTTTGCGTTTAAATGAAGCACTTGAGTATAAGACGCCAACTCGACGGCAAGTTAATTTTGCTGAGAACCTTTTTGACGTTCTAAGACGCTAATATAATATACAGTCAATTTGGCTAAAAAGGTAACGATTTTTTTCAAAACAAAATTTTTTTTATGAAAAAAAAAAAAATTGATAATTATTTTTATTGGTTTCAATAATTTTGAAAAAAAATAATCAGAACTTCAATTTAAATATATAAATATTTATCATGCACTGAAAAATTGTTTTCCGTTTATAAAGTTTTAAATATTTAAATGCGTTAAAAGTAAAACAAAATTTATCTTCAGATTATAAACCGTGAAAAATGTCAACACCTATATAGATATATATATGAGACTAAAATATGCAAGAAGCTTAATTGTAAAAGCAGTCATTAATCACTTTACGTATTTTATGAGTTAGGACACTTTATAGCAATATCGATTTTATGTTACTTCACAAGGTAATTAAACTACATTATGTATTAATATGTTTATATTTCAGTAGCGCGAAGTAAATCATATTTAATTTATTGCGTCATTGATGAACAAAAAATTAATATCGCAACTTTCTTTTGAAAAAAAGAAAAATCAATTTTTGTATGGTATTTTTTTTTGTTATTGTTCAGGTTCAATATATTTGAAAATAATAGTAATTTAATGAACGTAAACGCTTGGAATTAATTTATAATAACTGAATTTTCGTATTTCCTTTGCAAAAAAATAGAATTGGCTCATGGTTCTCTCGCCTCTCAATATCGACTTGTGGCACTCCTTCACTCATAAAAATCACATTTGTTGCCTGTGAAAGGTAAAATTTCGTTGGTTACTTTCTTTGGTTTTAAAAAAAGAAAAAATGGAAAAAAAAATAACTAAAAATATTTACAAAAAAAATTTATACATTGAGAAAAAAAATTTAGTGTTTGCAACAAAATTGTTTGGTTAACGAAGCTGAAGTACGCAACGTTTATGATAAACAATTTTTAAAAAAATAATTTTTTAAAATGGAAAATTATATAATTTTTTGCCTAAAAATTATTTCTTATAGTTTTCATTAATTAACAAATTATAAAAAAAAAAATATTTTTTAGGCAAAAGATTATAGAATTTTTCATTTTAAAAAATTATTTCTTTAAAAATTGTTTATCATAAACGTTGCGTATACTTCAGTTTCCTTTTGGTTAGGAAATTTTGGTTCTTGTAATGAAATTTTGGTTGGCTGAAATAAATTCGTAGATTTATCTCAACCAAACATTTTCGGTATGCCAACAAAAAACAATCAATCAAATTTTTTGGTTGACTCAAACAAATAATTTGCTTGACTCAAACAAATAGTTTGGTTGCTTAAATACCAACAAAATTTTTTTGTTGGTCCAACCAAATTTTAGATTGCTCTGACTAAACATTTTTTTTCTCAGTGATAGAAAGAATTAAAAATAAAAAAAAAAAAAAAAAGAAATCTAAATGAAAAACACTGATTTCATTTAATAACACTTTACTTTTCTAAATTCCATTTGTATATATCGAATAGTCATTTACTTTGCATTGAAATGAAGAAGATAAAATTGTATTACCCTTTTTTGCATGTAAGTTCTATTATTTGCAAAAAAAAAAAAAAATAAAAAAATAAAGAAATGCATTTTCTGTTAATAGCATATAAAGATATTTCTACCGCATATATATAGTTTTTCTCGATATATATATATATAGATATAAACATTAGATTTTTCATGCACATACTTTTTCTCGTAGGTGAAAATATTGAAAATCGATACTATTCACTTTGAAACATTCCATAAAAGATTGCCTAGATTATTGTCAGTGTAAATAAAAATTGATGAGGAGATCGTGAAATTTACGAGCCTTTAAAAAGAAAATAATGATAGTGCAATCAGAAGCGATGCTACCACAACTTTACCTCTTTTTTTTACTCTTTTTTACATTTTCTATTTATATATATATTTATTTATTAAGATCAAAAAATTCTGTTCAATAAATTCAAATAACAGTAATTAATATTTACATTATTACTAAACATTTGATTCAAATACTCGATTATGAAATAAATATTTGTTTTAGTTTATTATTATTATTATTATTATTATTATGTGTAGTAAATATTGTTATTAAAAAAAAATTATCAAGTAATATAAAAACATAAAATAGAGAATTGTAAAAAAAACGAAAACAAAAGGAAATTATGTGTAATTTTATAATATCGAATTTTTTTGTTATCACTCTATTGAAATTATTTATGCGGCAGAAACAAAAGCAAACCCGACACATACGTTGAAAAGAGGGCGACAAATGACAAAGCTGGTAATCCGATTGGTGTGTGCTCGTCAGTTTTACTTGATAACTCGACAAGACATATGATGCAGTATACATATATCTAATTGAATGTGGGTCGATGTATAGTATGATATAATATATTATATATATGGTATAATCTATAGTATATATACTAATACTATAATACCATATATATATATAGGGTGGTACATACGAAGGGCAAATCAGCATCCGACCTATACTCGCGAATCATCCATCTCAAATACAATAATAACTCTTTAGTTTGAATTTCAAAAAAAAAAAATCATTGAATTAATCCAAGCATTTTTTTTTTCAGAAAAATTTAAAAGAATTTGAAATTTATTTCAATCCACTAAAACTCATTGAATGAGAAAATTCTTTCTTGTTTTCTGCTTGATGCGGTTTACTCGTAAAGGATTTCTCCAATGATATAAACCATTTACCAAAAGAGAAAAGGACTTTTTCAACGAAATAAAAAGAAAATCCCTTGCATAAATTATGGAAAAATAAAATAATTTTTCAAAGTGGGAAAATATGGATTAATTTGAAAAAGAATTAGGAAAAATATGGATAAATATAAAAAAGAACAAAACTTTTCCTTTTATTTCATATACGTTTCGGCAACTGATGTGTGCCTTTGTCAGTGAATATTTATTATAGTACAAATGTAACTGTAGAGTAGTGTTTAAAATTTAGATATTGTTCATATTTTAATTTAGTTGTTAAAATATTCCTTGCCAACAATTTGCAACTTACAATCACATCCCGAGTCGAAATTTAGACTCTCTATAAGTTCTCTAAAAACCTCCTTTTATCCTCCTTTTATTCTCTCCAACACTTTCATACCCTCTTTTCTGCTATATTGGAGGCTGAAAAAAGGGTTTTAAAAATGACTAGAGAGGCGCAAAAGAGGTTAAAAAAACGAAAAAATAAAAATTAAAAAAATGTAAAAATTGGATTTTTTTTTTCTTATGGACATTATTTATTGACCCTATTGAAGATATATTTATTGGTCTTTGTCGTAATACTATAAAACTTTTAGGAGGAATAAAACTTGGAAAAATTTAAATTAAGAAAAAATTCCAAGACCTCTTTTCAACCTCCAAACATGCAGATTTGGAAGTATCAAATAATAATAATTGTTACGAAAAGACAAAATTCTTTAAATTCTTTCGCCTCGACTTTTCAGAGGATACCTGAATTTTTGGGAGATTTGGTATATTTGTTGTGATATAGAAAAAACTTTCTGATATTTTAGTACAGAAAATTAAAAGTTATTAAAATAAGCTGCAACGTTTATTATTTTACTCCAATTTTGCTTATTTTAATCCATTTTAGTATTAAAATAAGCAAAATTGAATTAAAATAATAAGCGTTGCAGCTTATTTTAATGTCTTTTAATTTTCTGTGAGTGCATTTTTGAAGCGATGCGCAAAAGAGAAAAAAATAAAACATGCTCTCTAAATCTGAATAAGTGAAATTTCACTTAAAATGTGTCAAAAGTCTTCCACGTAGAAAAATAAGTGTATATGCACTTTTAAATAAGTGGTTTTCATTCAAAAATAAGTGAAGTTTCACTTATTTTTAAGTGCATATACACTTATTTTTCTACGTGGAAGACTTTTGACACATTTTAAGTGAAATTTCACTTATTCAGATTTAGAGAGTGTGTTTAAAGGGATTTTTTAAATTGCTTGTTTAGACATTAAATCAAACTAAGGGTTAAAGTAAAAAAACATTATAATGCAAATAAATAAAAAAAAATTTCGAATAGGAAAAATAAAACACGAGGAAAATATATATATTGCATAAATGAAATAATTTTCAAATAGAGAGAATATATGAAAAATATAATGAAATAGCTTATAGAAAAATTGAAATAAATTTCCATGTGTATATATATATATATATAAAGCTCGAGGCAATATATGGTTTAATTCATTGAGGGTGGACACATGA